CATCTTATTTGTCTATTGAGAAACCTATATGTGGGTCAAGAAGCAACAGTGAGAACTGGACACGGAACCACTGATTGGTTCAAAATTGAGAAAGGAGTTCGGCAAGGCTGTATTCTGTCGCCCTGCCTATTTAACTTATATGCAGAGCACATCATGAGAAAGGCAGGGCTAGATGAATCACCAGTTGGAATTAAGATTGCTGGGAGAAATATCAACAACCTCAGATATGCAGATGATACCACTCTAATGGCAGAAAGTGAAGAGGAACTAAAGAGCCCCTTGATGCGGGTGAAAGATGAGAGCACAAAAGTTGGCTTGAAACTCAACATTAAGAAAACTAAGATCATGACATTCGGTCCTCTCACTTCCTGGCAAATAGATGGGGAAGAGATGGAGGTAGTGACAGATTTTATTTTTCTGGCTCCAAGATCACCTGGTCAAGGTGGCCTTGCTCTCAGTCACTGGGTGTGAGAGGAATCAAGTACAGGACCAAGAACAGAATTCTGAACTGAGTCACAAAGGTGCTCCTGTGCATCACAAATAAGAATTCCATTCGGAGTCCCTGGAAAGTTGGGATTCAGAATGCTTTCTCCCCTCTTGCAGCTGGCATGGAAAGAACTATGCTGGCTGTTTCTCTGACCTTAAAGAATGGATTTTTTGGGGTGTTCAATGGGAGGAGGCTGGTTTTGCCACAATATGAGGTATCTTAGCAGTGCCTGAGCATCCTTGGAGATGCAATCAGATGGCTGCAGTCAGTTCTCTAAAGGTTTTGCAGAGTAGGAAGAGCATGGAAGTAACATTTGCCTTTGCACTCCCACACGGGATACCCCTGTAATCTTCCAAATTCAGAAGGGCATGGATATCCAGTTTGGGCTGCGCATTAGGACAATAAGAGCCAGTGTTCATCGTTACTTCTAGTGCATGGATCTGGCACTGTTTAGGAGTTCATGGCTGGAATCCAAACAGCTACTTCAGACACACCCACTGGAGTAAGAATCTTTACTTTTCAGCACAGATTCCAGTGCAAATGGTAAATGATTTTGAGACTCCTTTTAGTTTCTGATAGCATAGCTAAAGGCATGTTTAGGGAAGCAGCCACTGTTGAAGAAGCACACCAGACTCCTAGGGTAGAAAACTAGCTGCATGGGACTTTGGATCCTGGCCCACATTAATAAACTTCAGGGGAATTGTTCCAGCTGTAGAGTAATGCAGCATTGATCCGATCTGAGACAGAGAGCCGGACAGTGATACCACCCAGAATGCGAATGTACGAATACTTATTTCCAGAGCTGTACTCATTGGAAATGAGCGTAATGGAATGTGTGTTCTTCTTGCTAGTGTACTGGAAGAGCTCTGACAAGTGTGGGAAACTATCCCATCAGCAGCCTGCTTTGTATACTACAGCAGTGGAGAAGTTCCGAAGATGGAGAAAGGAATAGGCTAGTACAACTTCTGTGTGTTCATCCTGAAAGCAGAGCCAGAGGATCAGAATACCATGGTGCTATTGTTAATTTTGAAGCTGGTGCTCTTCGTGGCAAGCCCCATAGCCACACCAGCAAAGAGAGGCCAAAGTCTTTGGTAAAACAGATGGCTCTTAGTTGCCTACTTCAGACCAGGTCATTTCAAAGCTCTGTGCCTTACAGCAGGAGTAGCTCCCAGCACTATAAATCTACTTTCTGACCAGCTGCTGTGTGGATTGC